CTGTTTGAATGCTGTATGTGCAGAGTTTGACACTAGAAGGATGTTTTCACATTCATCTGCTGAAAGTGGAAAGTTTCTCTGTGCTCACTGAAAATCTGATTTTAAGGAGTGGGGCCTACCAACATGATTTGTAACATGACAAAAGTCAGTCCTGGTCCAGTATGCTTCTTGCACAGTGTGATGTAGAAACTTAAAGCCACCACTGCACATCCACTGAGAATGGACTTAACAGTGAAGTAGGAGACATATTGTGTCCAGCTGGAAAACTTTACAAATGAACAACATTTGCATATTCAGAGATTCTGGAATGTTTAATGAGGTAGAAGGAGTAGATGACTTTTTAAGGATTTTAATGTGGAAATTAAAAATGTTGTGTAAAAACAAACATGACATTTAGTGGTGTAGTTGCAACACCTTCGCCTCACCCTCCTTGCTGTTCCTAGCATACAGGAGGCTCTTTCTAGAGACAGTTTTTGGTTAAAAAAATGCTGATTATACACTAATGAAAACATCACCCACACACCTATGAATATTATATTCCATTTCTGACAACAGATCCTCCTAAACATTACACACTGGAGCTTTAATACATGAGACTGGAGGTGATGTTTAATCTCAGTGACTGTTCAAAGAAATATGCAGTCTGCAGGGAGCCTCAAACAAGAATATAAGAATTCCAAGTTTAGTTCTTTGTTTATAATTTATTTCTTGTCCAAAGTCAAGTGTTTATTGGAATCATATCATCTCATATAGACAGGAAGACAACGCTGCATGTTTATTAAGTGTAGAAATACGCTAAATCCAGACAGTGTCCTATTTAAAATGCAGAGTTAAAGTTAACTTAAAGATCAGTTTGTCTATTTATCTGCACATTTTCACTTTGCACACTGCTCAAACATAAATGCACTTATCTACCTTAAATGTTAAAGGGGGTAGGGGTGCACTTAGGGCCCCAAAACAACCCTGACACAAGCTTCCAACTGTAAAGTAACAGTCTACATTATTTTGTCTCTCCTTTTATTCTTTTTTTAAATTTCACCACATTTTTCTTACTATCGCCCTGTAACATGTTTACACGTTAGATGTATAATATGATATATAGAATTTAAATTTTACGACCCCTTTTTACGGGATCAATACAGGTTTAGTGGTCCGGGTTTATTTTGAAAGTAATCACCGGAAGACAGCGTTTAAAGACACAGCACCTTGTCAGTAGGCATGGGCTGGTCTCACCCTTCCCACTCCTCCACGTTCCGTCATCAGCGTGTCCCGCAGATCACAGATCTCCTATAAGCGGCTCTCTGGCCGACGTGCGGACAGTGAGCGTGTCGGCGCGCAGAGACATGGACAGGAGGGCACACTGAGAGCAGCAGAGGACTTAAAGCCGCGGAGCGCATTCCTGTGAAAGGAACAACTCGGAACTAACATCAAACACTCACATCTGACATATTATCACTAATCCCCTTTGCTGAAGACCCGCGGGAAGCCAGTTTGCCGGTTGCCAGTGCGCGTTTTGGCACTTTGGATACGCGAGGACAGATGCGGTTTTTGTTCACTTCGCATTGATTTTGATCATTATTTACTTGCTCCGTGCCAAAGAACAGGCCAGGATTATAATTCCCTGTTGGATTTAAAAGTCGTCGATTTTACATCAGCACCAAACTTCTCTTTACGCGTCTGAAGTTTGCGCACGGAGATGGCGCAAAGGGTACGTCTGATTTGACAGATAATTTTTGAATTTTCATAATTGAAATGGTTTGCACAGGATTATTCATTTTCAGCATAGATCATTTTACATCCTTAAGGCGGATTCAAGTGATTAACTTCAGGTAAATGCATGCAGGAAAATATGAGGTGGACTGAGAATTGAGACTGAGAAGTGTTTCTGTAATCTTATATAAATGTTTACACTCTTTACAGTAATGCCTGTATTACCAATACAATAAACACATTATAGGAATATAACTGTCCCGGGTAAAGTTTGTTTTTTCCCTGCCCTAAATGTCATCTCCAACTTAAACCCTAGTACGATGAGCTGGCTCATTACGGCGGCGCGATGGACGGAGTCGGAGTCCCCACCTCCATGTACGGAGACCCGCACGCCCCCCGGCCCTTGCCCCAGGTCCACCACCTGAACCACGGGCCACCCCCGCACCCGACGCAGCACTACGGAGCCCACGCGCCGCACAACATCATGCCTACCAGCATGGGCAGTGCCGTCAACGACGCACTGAAGAGGGACAAGGACCAGATCTACGGGTGTGGATATAATAAGAATATTACTGTGCACACAAATATTTGGTTCCTATTTAAAAATGCAGATATTTCACATACAGATATTTCACATAATATATAACTAATCATATTTTCTGCTCATGAGATGTCATTTTCGATGCATTTCTGCTGCTTGAAACAAGAGAGAATTACGCAAATTATTAATGAGGATTACTACTATTCTCTGAACAAGTTGTTTGCATGGAAAACCAATGAAATAATATCACTGCAGCGGCGCATTTCCTCCATCGCATTAAGGAGGAATAAACAAATATTAGCTTTCCTTTGTTACGCACTGTTAATGTGAAATGTTATCTGCCGCTGCTTTCACGCGCGACTAGGCGATAGTTCATACGGGCCTAAACAATGGCTGCAGAATCAACCGGGCCTCGCTGTGTGTGTGTGTGTTGCAGCCACCCTTTATTCCCGCTGCTGGCTCTGGTGTTCGAGAAGTGCGAGCTGGCGACCTGCACGCCCAGAGAGCCCGGGGTGGCGGGAGGTGACGTCTGCTCCTCCGACTCGTTCAATGAAGACATAGCCGTGTTTGCCAAGCAGGTAGGTGCGCACAGGTGGATGATGAATGAGAAGGAAAGTGATATTCAGCCAGAACTCAAACGCTTAATTTTGTGGAAAGAAATGAAATCAAATAACTGTTTGGGTAATAATTTAGTCAGTATAATGAATTGTTGAAAACTGCCTAATTTGCTGTCTTTATTCTATTTTTGTTTAAAAGAAATCCGCTTGCAGCTGACGCCTCTCTTTTTCTCTACCTCTTTAGATCCGCGCAGAGAAACCTTTATTTTCTTCCAACCCGGAGCTAGATAACTTGGTGAGCACTTCATTTCATGCTCCCAGCGTTTTTATTACATACAATGAAAGACAAATAATATTGGTATTATGTTGGTAATTAGCAAATGCACACATGTAGCAATATTATGGCACTCTATAAAACCATGACTTCTCTTTTTATTATACATAATATCCCAATCCCCAAAAACTGTTTTTCAGATGATTCAAGCGATTCAAGTTCTTCGATTCCATCTCCTGGAATTAGAGAAGGTAACTTATTTTCTCTGATTCACACCTTTGACGAAGTGTTTTATTATTCTGTGGGAGAATCTGAATGCCAGACGCGTATTATTTCGCAGGTCCACGAGCTGTGTGACAACTTCTGCCACCGGTACATCAGCTGCCTGAAGGGCAAAATGCCTATCGACCTGGTCATAGAAGAGCGAGACGTCTGCAAGTCGGACTTCGACGACCTCTCGGGATCCTCCACCAACCTCGCGGATCATGTGAGTCTTTCTTTCATCCTTTCTTTCTGTCTTCATGAAATCATTTTTTATCTATTTTCAAATTCAACAAATTACTACCCCCTTATATTCCCTATATCATTTTCTAAAAATAGGAAATAATAACAACACAATGCATAATAACGAATAATAATAATTAAGCAGGGTACAGTAAGGGAAGACAAATATTAGTGTGCAAAAAAAAACAACAGTTCAATAATTATTTAATTTTTTTTTTCACCAGCAGCAACGTCGCTGATCGTTTCAGGATTGTTTTTATTAAAGAACTGTGCGGGTTGCAGGTGCGGATCTAGAGAAATATTTATGGGAGAGGGTGGCATGGGGACTTTAAGGGGTGTCAGAAATATATGCAGATTTAATCACAAACAATCACATACATCACATCAATATTTGCTTGGAAAATGAATATATAATAATATATATTTGAGCTCAAAAACATTATTGTGGCACATTAATTAAAGCCTTGAATATAAATATCTAAAGGTGGCATTATAAATCAATACATTGTTTAATTTCCAAATCTTCAGACTATTTTTCTATTTGTCTTTTTTCATTGAACTTCAGACTATCACTAAAGTCTAAATGTGGCCATAATATAATTTTTTAACATGTTATTTTTTAATTTAGTATCAAATGTGTTAAATTTGACAGCAGTTGACACTGAATTGGGGTGAAAAGGCATATTTAGGGGTAGCAACCACCCCGTGTCATTCCTCTAGATCCGTTCCTGGTGGGTTGCTCACAGAGGCTGCTTCTAATTGTTTCTGACTGTTGTTATTCTTATTATTATTAGCATCGGGGCTAGGGCTGCACCATATGGGAAAAATGTCACATTATTTTGAAAGATACTACAATTGCAATATGATTCACGATTACAGTGGGAATGATCATTTTTGCATCACAAATTACATTTTCACTAGAAAACTGTTAAAATCGCGATGATGATTGTTGCGGTCTGTACGAATCAAACATGTTTTCTTACACCAGAAAAACAGAATTATAAACCAAGGCATCTCTGCAGAGCTTCATTCTAATGCTGTTTGTCACACATTTTACCTTTATTTGAATAATAGTTCAATTAACTGTGCTGCCCTAATTAGAGCTGCACAGTAAATCAAAATATTATTGGCCTGCGAATCTTGTTCTCCAGATGTTAGAAAACATGTTTGTTTGGTAACATGTTTGGTTGTTTTAAGTTTAGGTTTTTTTTTCAGGGAAAATTTGTGATGCAAAAATGACCATTGCTAGTAATCACATTTCAGTTGCAATATCTGTCAAAATAATCGCAATGATTTTGCAGCCCTTGTTAGCATCATTGAAAAGTGAGCATACAGCTGCTGTAGACAAGTGGTTACCAAACTGGGGGTTGGGGCCGATCCAAGGGGTCACACAATAAACAAGAAGGGTCTTGAGGTGATTATAAGGAAATAAAATGGTAAGAAGTTTGTTGTGCTGTGTTTTGGTGAAGTGTGTAAGAGACTGACATTTTAGATCATATCTCACCTGTAAATGAGACTGTAAAAAGTGGTCAGACATGATGATCTCCAGCTGCCGGTGTCATGTTTGCTGTTGGGCTTCGGCCCAGTGTTGCTCGGCCAATAGGATTATTATAGCAGGAGTAGAGGGGGTCTTTGTCAGACATCCCCCCTGCTGTGTGCTTTACAGAGCCTCTTCCTATTTCTGGCATCTGTGTTCATTTAAAAATTCAGATGTGGGAGTGATTGAGAGCTACAGTAGCAGCAGCAGAGTGACTGTATGGGTTTATTGACACACTGCTACAACTATTGATTCTGACTGTGTGCTGGCTGACTCCCCCATGGACAGCTGTATTTTTACAGTCACATGCTCAGCAGTGTCCCATGGATGACCTCCACTTTACTTCTGTACCCAGTCCAGTTTTAAAGGTATGAAACTAGATGACCTAACGCATCCATGGTATCAACCATGTCATGATAGCATGTTGGGGTTAAATAACACTACATGTTTATTAAAGTTTGTTAAATTTTGGCTATAGAAAAACTGGCATGGTCACTTTCAAAGAGATTCCTTGACATCTGACCTCAAAAAAATTCCATGCAGTTTTGGGCAAAACCATGCAGTCTACTAATTAGTTGGATTCTTCTTAAATACATTTTATTTTTAAGGACCATGCACTTTCTTAGCCTCTCTGATTTAAAAATACCCTCATGTTTTTTTTGAGAATATATCAAATGGTATTTCTGACACATTTACAACATAGTGGGTGGAACATTAATTGTTTTTTGAAATTACACTTAGTATAAAAAAGGCTGAGAAAATGCTGAAATAAATCTTTATGTAACACGAATCAATTTAACTGGTTGCACACCAATTAATGCATGAAGTAACATGATGATCTATTTAGTGTGAACTAATCACAAAAAGTCATAGTGACTTTATTGTTTGTTAGTGGTGTTTAAATCATCATGAGCCATGTATTAGTTAAGCATTACTTATGATTTGTACCCTTGTAACATAGATTTGAAGTGCATTTTTATATGAATATAAAATTTAGAGGATGAAAATAAACCTTAATTTTACATCTCCCTCCAGTCTCTTCAAAATACAATACAATGAATAGTGGCACAGAATATAATTTCTCTGCAGCTTCAGTGAAAAACAGTGTTGACTTCAGTGACTCCATCATTCTCTTTGTTCTTAAGAGTGCAATTCTTAATATGCCTCCTTCTGCATCAAGCAGCTAAACACAATTTCCGTGTGTGTGTGTGTGAGAGAGAGAGAGAGGCCACCAGTTGATGTGACAGGACATTCTCCTGCTGTAATGCTTTCCTCCTAACGGCTGCTGCATAATAGATGTGCAGCTCTCCTCTGGGCACAAAGACATGCACAGCTGTGTAACGTACATGCACACTAAGCACAGAGTGTACAGCGATCTGTTTATCATTCACACGGGTTAAAAAACAGCCTCTGAGTTTACGGGTCAGGTTTGTGTGTAAAACAATCATTTGATTCTATGTTTGGTTTGTTGGACTGGTTGAGTTTCTACAGTGATCACCCCTAGGCCATAAGCTCATACTGATGGTTCGAACTGATCTTTTGTTCCCTGCAAAAATATTTTAACATTACACAAATTTAAGCATGTGGTCTATGGAGTATGGACTTTATTTTTTGAAAGTGAGTGAATACCTGACCGTACAGTTTTTCTTCATCAGGTTCCAGTCCACATCGACCTATTTAAATAATTTTATTGTCATTTTCTTCAAACCTGTGCGCAAGATTGTCACTCATTTCTAGAAAACTCCACAATCACAGATAACTGCACAGTGTTACTGCATAGGCCAACCTTATTGGCATCATTTTTGAAAATAAAAATAAATTACACGTTACAATTAAGAGATAATTTGACACCAATTTGTTTTATTTATTTTTATTATAGTAAATTCCTTTTTGACCATTTCATGATTAAAAAAACTAAATAAAAAGTAATGAATTATCAGTTTTATTCTTAAAGGATGAAATAGCATTTAGACTGTCACATTTCATATACATTTCAAGCATGCTTCATTGACCCATTGAGAGAGTAGATGGTTGACAGTTGATATGAGACAAAGATCTGAATCGGGTCTAAAGGTCTGAATCAAAATGGGGACGTTAAATTACATGATTAGTGCTTCAAACAAGGGGCGGGGGCCTAACAGCATGATTTGTGA